AAATCCTGTATTAAACTGGACATCATAAGGGCTGCATGTTTTAATTTTTTTGCTGCCCCAACTCTGTATAACCTTTAGCAAATCATTTCACCCCAGTTTTTGTCCTTTTCCTCAAATGATGAATTTGGTTTCATGGTCACTGCTTGCTGAAGGACAGTCACATGGATGATCAGAAGCAAGGCCAGTTCTCAAAAGAGCCACCAATTCCGTGTCAAGGCATCCACCTTTGTTCTAATCAGGAAGGGAATTTGCAAAGACCAAACTTCACCTTGCCCTTTATCTAACTAAGTGTGAACTTTGGACACTTCCCTCTGCCTGACTTTCAACTTAAAAGCCAAGAAAAACAAGGATTTGGGTTTTAAAGATGCACTTACAATAGGTGTTCATGGGTTGTGAGAGCATGCTTGTTTGTTAGGGGTGAGAGGTGTTGCTAAGGTGCAAGAGGGACCGGTTGTTGCTTTTAGTTTGTCCTTTAGGATGTGAACTTTAGTGCAGATTCCAGCTTGCATTTTAAAACTTAGGATGGTAATGAAGCACAGAGCCAGGAGGAAATAACAAAGCACATTTTTCCAAATAGCTACCCTTGTCTTCTGTTCAGATTCTACTCAGAATGCCAAACCCTGTTTCCTCTGCAGCTTGCTTCCTTCTGAGGCACACTGCAGCAGTTCATTCTCAGGTTTCTCTAAGGTTTGCAGGTCAAGGTACTATAGGCCTGCAGGCTGGAAGTAGTTAGGACAGCCAGTATACTGTGTCTTCTTCACCCCAGCACATGCAGGCTGAGAGACAGTTTCTCCTCTTGAGGCTGCTTCACCTATCTTCCCGGGATTTTACAAGACATGGACCTTCATGTCTAAAATTCCCATAAACTGCCAACTTAAAAAAAAAAAATGCCCAAGTATGACATAAACAGTGCACCCAAGCAGGATAATTTGAACGGATGTGCTCTTTTAGAGGCACCAAATCCTCATCCTGCCCTCTCCAGTCACATTTCTCACCTACTCATGTGGTGCCCACCTGTGGCTTATTGGCAGTTGCTGCTGCCTGCAAATGCGGAGATTTCCAAGTTCAAAATGAAGGCTTGATCTTCCGCTGTGGAACTCAACAGTACTGTGTGGAGTTCTGGAAAAGAATTAAGGATGGTATGAAGTCCTAGTTTGTGTCACTGCTTCCTTGTTTATATTCTTCCCAGCTATTCCCATGCCCCCTCTCCAGATTTTTGCATGGCTTTTATGGTCTCTAGTAATTATATCAGCAGCATGAAGTCTATTTTTATCTCTTTTGGATGTGTGCAACATAAATGTCAAAAAATATAAAAATCTCTTTCTAGCATGTACCTTGCATGCAAGGTTTTTGTTGTTGTTGTTATTGTTTTATTTTTTTGATGGTGCTGGGGATTGAACCCAGGGCCTTGTGCATGTGAGGCAAGCACTCTACTGACTGAGCTATATCCCCAGCCCCCATGCATAGTTTTGAAAGGTGTGATGTAGCATTCAGAGAGATGTTGCATTTTGAGGTCAGACAAATGAAAAATGGAAAACTGTATTTCATCACTTAGCTGCATGCTCTTATCATCTTGAACTTTTGGCATCTTCTATAAAGTGGAATCCTACCGTCTGCTTCATCAGGTGGCAGCACAGCACCTAGGTTAGCGTCTGAGATGCCCCACCCCACAGCAGGTTCCCCTAAACTCCTAAATTGTATGTTTCATGATTAAATGTCATGACCTTTGAATGCCCTATATCACACCCAGAAGCAGAGTAAGAATAAAATCTCCACCATCTCAGTGTGACTACTGTATATTATTATAGGATTCAGTCACAAAATTACTATACGAGAGAATAATACAGAACTCTCTGTCACTGAAACTGTCCCTGGACTTAGCTAACAACAACAACTGGCATTTATTAAGCACTTACTATGTGCGGGAGCTCTAGGTTATTTGCATCTCATCTTTACAGTACTCATGGATCCATACTATTTGGATCCTCCACTCTATAAACACTGAAGCCAAAAGTCACAAGTTAGTGAGTTGGGGAGCTAGAACTCAGTTTTAAGCAGCTTGACCCTATGGCCTATAGAAATAATGTACGCATGTTGCTGAGCTTCTCCACCTTCCAACATAAAGTTGCATCCACTCTTTGCACTTTCTTTTTGGAGTTGGCCCCCTGAGGAGGCCAAATGGGTAGGCAGAGGGCATGTAAAGCTGGAATCCCTCACTCAGCTGCTAGTAAAGGGTCATTATGCTTCAGTGGGGAAGATGGCCTCAGCATGTTCAGGTGGTCCTTTGTCATTATTCTGCTTTTTTTTCTTTTTCTTTTTTTTTTTTTTCCTTTTTTAGTGCTGGGATTGGAGCCAGGGGCACTTTACCACTGAACTACATTCCCAGCCCTTTTTATTTTATTTTTTTTTTTAAATTTTGAGAAAGAGTCTCAGTAAGTTGCCCAGACTGGCCTCGAATTTACAATCCTCCTACCTCAACCTCCGGAGTTGCTGAGATTAC